CATTCCTGTGAAAATGGTGGGGGGAACCCCGTCCAGTTGTAGAGTGTAATCGTCATGATTGGTGTTCAGTTGGGGCAACAACCAGCTTTCCAAGATGTCCAAAAATGAGTCTCCAGTCACAGTTGCTTCAGTGAAGAAAAATGGGCCGTGTATTTTCTTGCGGTACACCGCACATAAAACATTGACTTTTGGAGAGTCACGCTGGGCTCTATCTGTGCATGTGGTTGCTCGGTTCCCCAGGTACAGACATTGTGTCTGTTCACCTTGCCACTGATGTGGAATGTGGCTTCATCGGAGGAGATCGGTCTTTCTACGAACCCATCTTCCTCCATTTTCAACTGCATCTACTCGCAAAAGTCGCGCCTTTTCACTTTGTCTGCTGGTTTAAGGGCTTGCACTAGTCGCATCTTGTACGGTTTAAAATATAGCCGCTTACGCAACACCTTCCACACCGTCATTCCCTGCTCCCTCTACACACTGACTTGCGGGAACTCACTGAAACGCCTCACGCACTCTTTCAGTGTTGTCATCAGACACACGAGGCCGACCAGTACTCTTGCCTTTACACAAGCATCCAGTTTCTACAAACTGTCGGTACCGCCTGCTTGTGTTATTCTTGTGTGGTGCGTCTTTTTGAAACCGTGCACGAAACTCAAGCTGCACTGTAATCACAGATCTGGACACCTCAAACGGAGCACACAGAAAGCCTTCTCCTGCTGCAACACCATCTTTGAAACTGGCCCCGCGGCCACGCAGTCAGCATGAGAAGCGAACTTTGATTAACGTTTGAAACCGCACCATTCTTTGTGTATACCCTGTACATACCAAATTACATGAAAGGGTTATCTTATTGGGTGAATACGAGAAGGACTGGAGAGGCTGTGGTCTTGGCCTACATTAAAGTACTATACCGGAATTCGCATGAAGGGGCTGAGGAAAATAACTATATATCTGCCGAGATTCGAATTGGTTACTACCCAAACAAAAGTCAAAGGAATTTACTCAGTTAACACTTAAAAATTGTTCTGTATGGGTCCAATAATGATTGTTCGTTCCGGATGTAACAAATTTAATTTAGTTAATTAATTATGAATATAGAATCTAATTATAAATACGATCCTAATTAAAATATTATATTAACCCTTTGAATCAATCTTTTTTTTTTCGTTTCCCATACGTGCCGATGCACCTGTATTTTCCCTGAAATGTGTACGAGACAGCGCACATTCAACCAGCAGGACAAAATAAAAGTAATTGAAACGGCGGTTTTTGTGGATTTCCATTAACACTTCAATTACATGGGGACAGGCAAAGTCTTCTTCCCCTGTCAATTCGAAATACCACATGCATATTTACACAATCTACTATGAACACATGCTGTAAAATGTTTTTTCCATTCTAAACACAAATAAACACTTTCGCAGTAATCTAACGCCCACAATTTTCCACATAAATCGCCCATTCCACATACTCTGTTGTAAATGAAGGATTATAAATTCACAGAGAAAGTCACTGTAATTATGATGGCTCCATCACCATATGACCGTAAAAAACCACTCACTCCTTTCAACACAGTCCGTTTTCAGAAGCTAGTGTTTCCTCAGGCAGTCAAGAATTTCACAGAATTGACGGAACATCTTCAGAAGAGCACACCACAGGTCCCTAGATTCAGCCAGCTGAGCATACGCCCTCCAACCATACTTCTTTAAAACCCATTTTAATATTATTATCCCATATATTCCTAATTTTTCATATACTCTTTTTCCTTTCGATTTCATATGAAAACTTTGTATGCATTTGTATACAGTGTTGTACAATATTCTTAGGGAGTTTAGTGTATCCATGAAATAATTTTTTTCTCTCTTCTCGCTCCCACTTCGGAGCACAGGGCTGATTTCTCAGTTTCATTATCGGTTTACAGAGGGTAGGACTCCTTGGACGAGTTAACAGCTCGTCGCAAGGCCCCTACCTAAACGCAGGATATCTCAAACACAGAATAAACGCATACACCCACCAAACGTGCATGCCTTGTGTGGGATTCGAACACACGATCCCAGCTTCCGAACGAGCGAAGACACTACTTGCCTTAGACCGCTCGGCTACAATGACCGACATGAAAGTAATTAGGGCAAATTAAAATGCGTTTATGTGAAACTACAATAAATTTCATGTAGGTAAGAATTTAACAGATCCATTTCCTGTTCAGAATGTTCTGAAACAAGGAGATTCTTTATCACATTCACTTTTAAGCACTACTTCAATATGCCAGGAGGGTTCTGAACTGAATGGAACATGCTGATTTCTTCTCTGATTAACATAAAACACATTCCTAGTGATAAGGGATAAGGAATAAGAATACATTTTATTTCATTTATCTGTAAACTGTTTCCTTTGAGAAGAATCGCAAATCCGTTGAGAGACACCACTTTACACCTTTCCCTGTGTAGCCAGGCCGCGTGCTGTATGGAGCAATATATTAGCCGACAATAACAGAGCATGAGATCCTATAGTAGATACAGCAGCAGCTGTACAAATCTTTTTCGTTCAAGTTCCGGCTTGAAACATATAGGCTGGAGTGAGTTTGGGGGGGGGGTGAAACCGAGCGAGACCAGAGAAATGCATGGAACAATTCGTGTTTCGTGTAAAGTGGCATAACAATTCTTGTTTATCATGCATATCAGAAACTGACGTCCATAATAATTTGCCATTAAGAACACTTTAAAATATATGAAGTAACAAAATGAAAAGACAAAAATTATATACCAGGGCGCTCCAATCATAATTCATAATCTTGGAAGATAGAAAATGTAATATTTTTCTTCTGTCAGTCATGGTACTTAGTACCTTCTTGAAATGAGGACGTTACAGCACTCTGTTAGATATACAGCAATAGAAGCATACATTGGCACATATATTTCTATTTTATTACTTTCGCTTCGATTATTTTTATTTTCAGTCATAATTCAGGTTCTGCATCGTCTCTCTTCCTTCTTCACTTCCTGTATAGAAGGTTTATATATCGGTTCGACCCCCGTGATCTCCTTTCCTCTCGCATGAGCTACATCAGGGTCTTCGAAACATAACAACCTGCTTCGTCACATGCACCGACAGCAGCAACTGGGCAACTGTCAGCAGTAAATCAAAATGCTCTCTAGGGCGCAATACAGATGGCCATTCTATTCAGTACACACACACATGGGTTGAAATTCTCCTTCCTCGAAATTTAGTGCCTCAGTAGGCAACGCTTCTGATATGTATTCAGGAGATGAACTGTTCATATCTCGGTTGGGACATCGAACTTCCTGACTGATATCTTTTGTACTTTTCCTAATTCCTTCCAGGTAAATATTGGTATAACAACTCACATTAGACTATGATCCCTTCTCCTACACGAATCAAAAATCTTTATTTGTTAATAATCCCATAATTCGACGCTATGCAATCTGAAATACTATCAGTGCCGTTAAATGAACAAAACTCCGTGACCTTTAGTCCGCAAGCGAACTATACCGACCGAGCAATCGCCGCTTGTTGGCGAAGTTAGTGCCAACTTTAGCGGATAGAGGGTGTGGCGTGATCAGCACAACGGATCCCCACGGCCGTTAAGCTCAATTTTCTAGACCGAAGCCGCTATTTCCTTGAAAGAGTTCTTGAGTTATCCTCGCGAGGCTGAGTGGACCGCGTTCCAGACCCACCTCTTCTCAGAAATTAAATAAAAATTAGAATTATAGAATTGAACAAAATACTACGTGTAACATTGAATAATAGCAATATTTATCACTTTCAAGAGAGAACTTCACATAAAGATCTGAGCTCTATTTCGTATAACAGCGCCAGATGTTCTTGTCGACAACTTACCTCAGTTTTGCCAAGATGGACACCTAGGTTACTGAAGATAACTCCTTGATTCTCTCTGTATATTGCCTTTTTTTTGCGTTTCTAAACAGGCAGATGGTTTGTCTGTAATAAATACTTGATTTGTGATATAATTCACTGCACTACACGCCCATACAAACCGACAGATGCTGTCCCGAGTATTATAGACACTAAGAAAGCAATTCCTATGTACCTGTCTCTTTCCTTTATTTACCGTAAAGAGCGTTTGGATTGTAACCAGTTTTATATGCGGAAACTAAAACCGTTGCAAGAAAGAACAAGACTTACATTTTACACATTTAACGCATTTAAACGCGTTACTGTCGTTACTTAAAAACAGACCAAATGTTCGTAATTTATTCTGCATGGAGATCTGTAATATAATTTTCAATCGTTTCAGTAGTCCTAAGAGGTTTTCCCTTAGCTTCGTTTTAACAATGATATTAAATTCCTGTGGTAGTTATTACGTAAGGTAAAAATCCTGTGACGAAATTTGTTGCCAAAACTTGTAACTATTTCACAAATTTGTTATGTTTTAGGCCGGGAAACAAATCTGACGCAACCGTATTATTCCCTAGCGATGTTCGTTTCCCACGAATGTCAATACGAATGTCATGAAGTTACAGTTGATAAGCAAATAAACATGTGCAAAATAATTTCATAAATATTATTGTATTCGAATACTGATAACTGGGATAACACTTCAATCGTGAATTAAATATAATTAAATTAGCGATCTATATGTCTTATTTTATCAGAGTTCTAATAGGCCGTACCTTTTGAGAGTATAACATTTTCCAAGAATTTGGTGCAAAATAAAAAGGAAGTAATAAGACATCGTAGCATCCTGTTTTAATTTTCATCTAGTTTCACGCTACATGTTTCCACCAGTGTAGTCATTATCAGGTGTTAAAAATTATGGACTAGGAAACTGCTGTCTTCTTTATCGTTGCTTAGGTTGTTATAGTCTCCTCAATGCGCATGCGTGTTCGAGGTGGTGGGTTGTGTTCCCTCCTGTTGTCTTCTGTTACATGTCTTGTTTTCAAATACTTTCGAAATGCTTTTGACTCTTCATCTCGACACAACTGATTCAGTTCATCATGTAAACACTCTTCCAGTCCTCCATGACACCACTGTTCCAGTCCATCATGAAACCATTGTTCCAGTCCATCACGACACCACTCTTCCAGTCCATCACGACACCACTCTTCCAGTCCATCACGACATCACTGTTCCAGTCCTCCACGATACCACTGTTTCAGTCCATCACAACACCACTGTTCAAGTCCATCACGACACCACTCTTCCAGTCCATCACGACACCACTGTTCCAGTCCTCCACGACACCACTGTTCCAGTCCATCACGACACCACTGTTCCAGTCCATCACGACACCACTGTTCCACTTCATCACGACACCACTGTTCCAGTCCATTACGACACCACTCTTCCAGTCCATGGTGACACCACTATTCCAGTCCATCATGACACAATTTTTCAGTCCTTAGCAAACACCCCTCTTCTGATTCATTAAAATACCACTTTTCTGATACACCACAACACTACAGTGCCAGTCCATCACAGCATCACTGTTGTTATTAATCGGAACTATAATCCCAAACTGGATAAAACCCTTTAAACTGGTTTTCAAACGAGTTGACGATTCTTTTTCTTAGAATAGTAGAAGATGTCACTAGAAGTTCTACCACTCACAAATATTTATTTTCTTGTTTCTTGCTTCATTTCAAAGTACCAGTTTCCTCAGTTTTGATTTCCATCCAGTTAACCCAGCAGTTAGGGGCAACTGGAACGATAAAGCTGAGGGGACTCCATTCTACATACAAATGTCCTCCCATTAAATAAGGTACATTAAAATTGAGGATATTGACATTTTCTAGCATATGATGAAGTTTTATTCTACATATAAAAATATTTCACAATTTTTATTTTCACAAAATATCTGGTAAGGTGCATGTGTAGGACATATACAACAGCAGTTACCAAGTGGGGGAAGAGGGACTGGGAGTAAGCAAATTCTCATAAATCATCCGCGAATTCACTTGTGCAAAAGTATATATGAAAACATACAAACGGGCCTTCAATTTCGCAGCACTGGAACTAACAAGGGCGAGACTGGTACTCGTTATGTAAAACAATATTACGTGCAATTTGGGTAGCGAAAATTAAAACTAAATAAAATATTATGAAGTCCATTTGTTTTCATATTCTGACAAAGTAGGTTGTTATCAAAGCTAAATGTTTTAAACCAGTGTTGTGCATATTTAGAAACAAAGTTGAGTAATTCTCGTAAAGCATGCCAGGACACAGGAAACACACCATTGCACGTAGAAATACAGGGTTAGCCTAAAATAAATAGACACTTTCAAAGTTTTACAGAAAGAAGAATTTTAATAGCATGGCCGAGATACATACATGGTTTGAAAAGTACACCCTGAAGTTTACATGGGTAAGTTACAAGTGTTCTACGAGTATGTATGACCCTTTTGTAACACGACAAATATCAATGCGATAGTCCAGTTCTTCCCAAACGCTTCTNGCACTTGTAGGGAAGGGTGGAACATAAACGCTGTCTTTTATGTAGCCCCATAAGAAGTAGTCACAGGGTGTTAAATCCAGACTTCTTGGTGGCCAACATGTAAGAGCCATGTTCTGGGCGGCTGGACGTCCAATCAAATGCCGAGGACAAAACAGTGCGTGGAATAACCTACTTAGACATGCTACATGAGTGGCTGGTGCCTCAACTACAAAAAGACAATGACAATTTCATATCTGTCCAAGATGGCGCTGCGCCAGACTGACACCTTGAAATTAGAAATTACCGGGACGAAAAATTGCCTCGGCGTTGGATTGGACGTCCAACCGGCCCGAACATGGCTCTTACATGTTGGCCAGCAAGAAATCCAGATTTAATAACCTGTGACTACTTCTTATGGGGCTACATGAAGGACAGAGTTTATGTTCCACCCCTCCCTACAAGTGAGGACGATCTTAAACAACGCATCACAGTAGCTGCTGCTGAGAAGCGTTTGGGAAGAACTGGACTATCGCATTGATATTTGTTGTGTTACAAAAGGGTCACACATAGACCACTCGTAATTTACCCATGTAAACTTCAGGGCCTACTTTTCAAACCATGTAAGTATATCGGCCATGCTATTAAAACTCTTCTTAATGTACAACTTTGAAAGTGTCTATTTATTTTAGGCTAACCCTGTATTTCGACAACGCTTCTTAGACTGCGGTAAGAATGAAAGATACATCGGTTTATTTTGTCTTCTGATGAATCCATAACTCGTATAATAGACATGCCTATGAAAGTTGTACTGATAAATTAATAAATTTCACGGTATGTAATCAACTAAGAAGGCTTCTTTGTATTCGAATGCTTCTTGAGAAGCTGATAGTAACTAGCTCATCAGTAATTTTCAATTCTTCTTTGGAGTTCCAAGTTCCATTATTGTGTTCACAACAGCACGCCAGCAGGGCCTATCATGAGTCAACAGAATGCACTCCACTTCCGTCAACCCAGCGCTTAGAGAAGATGGGAGGGTTCATAAGAGTTTCATGTCTGTGAGTCTTTCGAGCCTAGAGAAAGGTTCACACCTCCCATTATTTCTTGCACAGATCAGTTTGCCCACTCTTATTCGAAATTTAAGGTTAAGAGTTCGTGTTGTTGTTGTTGTGGTTGTCCTCGTTTTCTTCGTTGTTTGCTAATTTATGATTTATTGTTTTTATCGTTAGTGGGGTGGGATTAAGTCCCGTGCACTGCGGCCACTTCTGGCCTATTGTACCAGCCTCAGATAAGGCGAGGGTGATTGTGGAGCAATTGGTGGGATGAAGATTGGTAGAGGAAACCGAAGTACTGGGAGAAAATCTGCCCCAGCGCCACTTTGTCCACCACAAATTCCACTTGACCAGACCCGGGATCGAAACCGGGCCGCCGCGGTGGGAAGCCAGCGACTAACCTCTTGAGCTATGGCGCGGCCAGAATTTATGATTTAAGTTTACTGCGTGTCTCCACTTTTTATGGCCTGCTTATGAATACAGAGACGCAATAATATGAATCCTATCCAGCAGGATCCCAGTCACGGAGTTTACATATCACTGCCACCTATAGCCTTAGGAAGAGAAACCAAAACTCGCTGCCCAGCAAACTGACTGACTAACCAACCAAACGGCCAAACGACCAACCGAACGGCCAAACGACCAACCGAACAACCAACCGACCAACCGACCAACCGACCAACCGACCGATTACCTACCTACCTACCTAGCTAACTAAGCAGCTATTTTTTTTTAATTAACTTAGTGGGGGTGGAGTTCACTGGGTCCACTCCTCACGGCGACCACTGATTGGCCTATTGTAGCATGCCCCGGGTGATTATGATGATGGAGAATTTGGCGAATGAAGATTGGCAGGGGAAACCGAAGTACTCGGAGAAAACCTGCCCCAGCGCCACTGGACCTGGGTTCGATCCCGGGTCTGGTCAAGTGGGATTTGTGGCGAACAAAGTGGCGCTGGGGCGGATTTTCTCCCAGTACTTCAGTTTCCCCTGCCAATTTTCATTCCACCAATTCTCCATCATCATAATCAACCGGGGCAGGCTACAATAGGCTAATCAGTGGCCGCTGTGCCGAGTGGACCCAGTTGGACCCCCCCCACTAAGCGAATTAATTATTAACTAACAAACCAGCTAACCAACCAACTAACTAACTAACTGACTGACTGACTGACTGACCGAACAACCGACCAACCAACCAAAATAACTAACCAACCAATCAACCAACCAAAATCACAAACCAACTAACGAACCAACTAACCAACAATCATACAAACTAACAAACAAACTAACCAACCAGTTAACTAACTAACTAACCAGCGAACTAACTGACTGATCAATTAACTAAGTAAGTAACTATGTAGGTAACCAACCAAACAACAAACGAGCCACCTAGCTAACTAAGTAACCTGCTAACAGGCAAAAAAGCGAAATAGCTAACAAACAGAACAGCCAATCAACTGATCGAACGTCCGACCAACCAGCCAACACATAAATGAAGAACAGTATTTTCTGAGAAGTTTACAGTTGCTCAGGTAGTCCAGAAATTCCAAAAGTTTTGCGGAATCCGGAGATTAGTTACCGTTTTTACAAGAGTTAACTTCTGCTGTCCATTCTGCCAGATAAATCCAATCTCAATCCTCCAGTTACATTTTAATGTTTTCTTCTCATCCATTCATAGCTCTTCCAACTGGCCTCTTTAAATCAGGTTCCACTACGCATCCATGTGTGCTACATTCCCACCTATCTCACACTCACACTATCGATTCAATCGTCGTGGTAATCATTGGAGAGGATTATAAACCATGAAGTTCCTCTCTCTGTACCTTTCTCCAGCTTTCCTTTACTTTCTCCCCATCATGTCCAAGCGGTCTCAGCATCTGTACACAGTCAATTAATGTTCCTCCATTACAGACCAAGCTGCACACCCAGGCAAAACAACGGGTTGTATATAAATTGACATTCAATCCTTCACAACTTTAACAGACTGTGTGTCAACATCCTTACGAAGCACACCAGTCGTACATTAGCCTTAAAATGGCCGCAGGCGCTCCATAAACTTCCATTCTTGCATTTTAGCTTTCTTTCCAGCCAGAAATTCCAAAGTGCTGTGTGTCAGTTATTTTATGGTTAAGCTTCTTCTTTCCAGATGGCACTTGTGTTTGCGTCATGGCGGTGTGTGTGTGTGGAGGCGGCCGAGAGTAGTTGTGACATCCGCACAACAGCGAAACGAAAGAAAAGAAGTAACAGAAAATGAAGTTGAAAGAAAGACAGATGAAGCCATCACAAATTTCCCAGATGTTTTAACACGCTGAATTGTTTTTGCTTTCAGTTAAGTTTTTGTTGTCTCACATGCACTTTCAGCTCCTTTTATTTGCAAATATTGCGCCATCTCTCCGCCTAAACTCCCTTCACTTCTGACAACTTAATCACGTCAACTTTTTTAGTTCTGCTTCTGAGTTCTATGGATATTCCGACCTCGTGCAGTTTTTATCAGGAGAACCTTGCTTAAATACGGCGTTCTCAGACGAGATTATAGATTTCACAATTTGAATTTGTACAATTTTTTTATATATAAATTAACTGATGATTTATAATGCTGCATAAATTGCTGAGCCCATGGTATGAGAAAATAGTGGATAAACTTACAAAAGGAATATTTGAGGAACCGTGTCACCTCAATGATCCGCCGATCGAAGCGTTCTTGGTGGCAGATGTAGGAATCATCTGCACCCAAATTGAAATGGACGCGCACAACCCACTGATGTAAATGATTTGTAGGTGTTGATGGATGCATAAGTCTGATAGCATTAATGGATTGCTAGAATATATATGCCTTTCTTTCTTTGGTTCTTTCTTTTCACTATTTAAGGCATGTTATAACAGATATACACTGGCCGAGTCTTATATAACGTGTCTCCAATCTG